TATATATATATATATATATATATATATATATATAATATATGTNTNTATGTNTNTGTATATATATATATNTGTGTGTGTGTGTGTGTGTAGGTATGTCTGTATATATATATATACGTATAGATAGATAGATATATATATGTATATATATATGTGTGTGTGTGTATATAGATATATATATATTACACTAGCACACTATAAAACTATCAGTATATATCGCGAAAGTACAACTTGCGTCTGTTCTATACAAATATAATCCCAATACTAACAACCTGCAAACACATACCAACTCTATAAACTCATCACCTCTTTCCACTTCTTGTTCCAATCCTTTACCATCCTTTACCTACGACCCAAATATAGTACTTCTTCACTGTCCCAAATGGAGCAACAGGCTAATCTGCTAATGGCGAATAACTACACAGCCTTTCTGGGTGCCAATGGCACGTACATCGAGAACGCAGAGGGCGTTCCTCTGTTCAAAGACGCACAGGGAACTGTGGTGACTGTGTGGGGAGAGGTGTGTACGTGTGTGTTGTGTATATATTTTTGTATATGTATATGTATATATATATATATGTGGGTGTGGGTGGGTATGCGTTGGTGTGTGTGGGTATGTGTACATGTGTGTATATCTCTGCATAGATCAGCTCTTTGTGTATTTGTGTATGTGCGTGTTTGTGTGCGTGTGTGCAATATAGTCTCTACTAGAAGAACAACCGTTTCTAACGCATACATACGTTTACCTACCACATCATAGATAATGCCTCAGGGATCTCATGCATATGATAGTAGTGGCAGCCAAGTACCCGCCATTGATGCCAACGGACTGCCTATGGTGGACTCAAAGGGACAATCCGTTTACACCGATGTCTACGGAACCCCAATGTAAGAGCGAGATTGCATTGTATATACGTAGAAGAACGTTTTTTCTTTCTCATATGGGTACATCAGATTCAATATACGTATTGTATCCGTGCTTACGATTCGTGTATATCTATCAGCGTGTGTGGGGAGGGTTCCGTTAAGCGCTACACTCGTGTCTGTTTACGTAGAGCTTTACACTTCGGGCCTATCTGAGTCTCTCACTTACTCATACTCATACACACACACGCGCGCGCTCGCACACTCACTCATATATATATATATATGTGTGTGTGTGTGTGTGTGTGTGTGTGTGTATATTATGATATATTATATATATTGTGATGAATTGTGATATATATATAGAAGTCACACACGCACACGTGCCTTATATACACACGCTGAAACCATACACACATCTCAACCCACAGACTATCAGATTTGGAGTTGGCTGCCGTGCTGATGATTGCGAATGGCTACACACCTTTCTTCGATGGCAATGGCACGTACATCAGGAACGCAGAAGGCACACGGCTGTTCAGAGACGCAGAGGGTGCTGTGGTGACTATCCAGGGAGAGGTGTGTGTGACTGTCCCTGTGGCGGGTGGTCCTGTTTCATGCATGTCTTTGTGGCTTGGGTTTTTAGAGTTTAGGGTTTATTGGCATTGGGGTGTGGCGTTCGCTGGCTTGCGTATGAGGTGTTAAGGTTGTCTTTCTGAAACAGAAGGGGAACGAGGGCTCTACCGTGCTACTCTGCAAGTGGATAACCGTTTGATGTTGTTAACTGTATGTTACATGGTACAGCCTGTACATTTCAAACGTATTCACAGCTGGTCGCCGCATGTACATCCCCGATTTAAAGTTGATAACAAATCGGTCAAGACGTTAATTTAACGTATACATTTACCTACTTCGACTTAGGCGATGCCGGCAGGATCGCCCGCATATGACAGTACAGGCAACCAAATACCCGCCTTTGACGCCAACGGACTGCCTATGGTGGACTCAAAGGGACAACCCGTTTACGCCGATGTCTACGGAACCCCGATGTAAGTGCATACTTATAGTGTAAATTTTTAGAGCAATTACCTTCATAATATTATATATTTATATATATATATATATATATATATCCCATATTATCGAAATATTTGCACTTGGTATTCTATTAGCATCACACGTATGTCTATTCATGACATATGGCTTGTGTATTTTCCGAAAACCTAACCCCCACTGGTATATCAGCGTCTACAAGATTAAGGTTCCATAGCTTCAGCCCATAATACCTACCAACGGTATACTAACCCACACTCTATTTGCGACATGTTTACGACACAGTTTGTCAGAGACGGAATTATTGGCCGTGTTGATGGTTGCTAATGGCTACACACCTTTCCTCGATGGCAATGGCACGTACGTCAAGAACGCAGAAGGCACTCCTCTGTTCAGAGACGCACAGGGTGCTGTGGTGACTATTGCTGGAGAGGTATGTTGCTATCCATGTCTTCTGAGTTCTGTAAACGTTTTACGTTTGCTGCATGTCTGTCGTTCTATGGTATATATGTCCAGTTATGTTCACATGTACGGCCACAAAATAGTCTTTTGCGTTACACAACGTTAATCATATTTGCAAACACGTTCCAAAACCGAGTATGCGTTAACCAGCATATATATAGAGCGTGACTGCAGAAATGCACACGTTTATAAATACATATAGTGCCAGGTGTATATTTGTTCAATTATATATGTATACCTATTTCGACACAGTCTGTACCTGCAGGATCGCCCGCATACGACAACGTGGGCAAACAAATACCAGCCATCGATGCCAACGGACAGCCTATGGTCGACTCTAGTGGAATCCCAGTCTATACCGATGTCTATGGAACACCAATGTATGCACACGGATATATCACAGCACTTGAAATGGATCACTATATAGAACAATATGTATATATAACAATACATATATATATATTGTTATATTGTTGTGATTGTTATATTGTTATATTGTTATATTATCATTATTATTATATATATTTATGATATATCTATATGTATATATATATATGTACGTATTTATGTATATATGTATATATATATACATATATGTAAATATACGTACTTATAAAAATATATGAATACAACAAGTAGGTATATATGTATATATTGCTAACACAACCCTCACGTGAATATACAGTTTATCGGAGATGGAATCAGCCGCCATGCAGATGATTGCGAATGGTTACACACCTTTCTTCGATGGCAATGGCACGTACATCAAGAACGCAGAAGGCATTCCTCTGTTCAGAGACGCACAGGGTGCTATAGCCACTGTGTGGGGTGAGGTGTGTACTTACTCATATACGCAGATGTGAGTATGTGAGGTCGTTCTGTGTGCAACTGTGTGTATGTTTATTTCCAGGAGACCCTGTTTCTGTATTTTCGTTTATCAGGCTTACGGTAAGAAATGCTTAGTCCATTTAGTATATGTTTGAACAAGGTCACATTCACTACCAATTGGAAGAGGGCTTTCATCCAAACACGGCGGGTCCCTGACTCAGTTAGCACGATGTCTATGAGAGTGTCTAGAAAGTGAACTCTATCTTGTCAACCCAATTATCTTTAGCGCAAATCACGGTGCATGCTAGCTACACAGTTAAGGTAGCTTTTAAACTAACCGAGCTCCGGTACCATTTCCAACGAGTGATCGGCTTATACATGTTTGAGTTGCACTTCTCGACCTTTTGATTCGTTGGCATGTCTGATACCGGACTAGTACCGAACTTCTCGACCTTTTGATTCGTTGGTATGTTTGATACCGGACTAGTACCGAACTGAAACCGCATTCTCTAAAACCGCACTAAAACCGCAATTCGCATCCAAGCCGCATTCGGGGACACATGTGTGGCAATGAAATAAAAAGAATCGGAAAAGTGACTCTTAACTGTTACGGTGACGAAAAGATGTAACACTTTTATGTATGTATGTTTATTATCAATTCGAATATTTAGGGTATATGCGTTTGTTGGGCATGCATACGTTTATCTACCTCAACATACATTTACCTACTTCAACATACATTTATCTACTTCAACATAGGTGGTGCCTGCAGGATCGCCCGCATACGACACTGTAGGCAATCAAGTACCCGCCTTTGATGCCAACGGACAGCCTATGGTGGAAACAAAGGGTCAGCCCGTTTACGCTGATGTCTACGGAACCCCAATGTAAGCACACGGTTATATCACAGTAATTCAGTACGATTGCTGTATTGTACCCACAGGTTATTAGATATATATATATATGTATATATGATTGTATATATAATTGTATATTTATATATATATAGGTATATATATATATATATTACTGATATAACCCTCACGTGAACACACAGTCTATCGGAGATGGAATCAGCAGCCATGCAGATGATTGCGAATGGCTACACACCTGTCTTCGATGACAATGGCACGTACATCAAGAACGCAGAAGGCATTCCTCTATTCAGAGACGCACAGGGTGCTGTAGCTACTGTGTGGGGAGAGGTATGTACTAATCTGCATACGCATATATCAGTTTGAATATCAGTTCTGTATGTAGGTATATATATACTTATTTGTATGTCTTTTGGCATCTGAAAGGTTTAATTATATATATATATATATATACATATTCATTTTCAAATCAAATATAAAGGATATATTCGTTTGTTGAGTATGTATTCATTTGCCTACTTTAACATAGATGGTGCCTTCAGGGTCACCCGCATACGACACTGTAGGCAATCAAGTACCCGCCTTCGACGCCAACGGCCAGCCTATGGTCGATTCTAACGGAATACCAGTCTATGCCGATGTATACGGAACACAAATGTAAGCAAACAGTTATATCGCCCTACTTCAGAACGATCGCTATATTGTATCCGAAGTATTTAAAATTAAAATATATATATGTATA